AAGAACAAACTTGCAACACTCTTGAGCAACCTCATTTACATTTAAACAAACGAGCTGCAGCACGTCACAGGGCGCCGGGTGGGATGGAGCGTCATCCCTCTGCCTGGCAACAATCCCAGGGCCAGGATGATCCTGCAGGATCCGTGGCTGCCTCCGCCCCCTGGTGGTGCAACTCAGAACTCCCGAGCCACGGGCGCTGGAGAAGGGCAGCCTCCTAGAACTGCGACAGCACCATTCCATCTTCCCAGGTCTGAAGAGAAGCCCCTGCTCTGGGGAGCCTGCTACAGCCCCTCTGGGCTGCTGGAGCAGTGCTCACCTTGGGGAGGCCAGTCGCAGCTAACAGCAACAGACCCTTCCTACTGCCAGGCTCGGCACAAACCCCTCTGCACAAAGTGCATCATCTCCTTGGACCCTCTGCACCTTCCTGCAGGTCGCTGCTCGGACGACTACTCCATTTTACAAGTGTGACTGTCAGTTTATGCGTCAACTTGGCTACGCTATGTCCCCAGGTATTCGACACCACACTGATCTAGGTGATGCTGGGGAAGGTATTTTGCAGATGTGATAAAGTCCATGATTAGTTGACTTGCAGTGAGATTATCCTAGACACTCTGAGGGGCCTGCCTCAATCAGCTGAAAAGCCTGAAGGACAGAGCCAAGGCTTCATGGAAGAAGAAATTTCACCTGTGGACTGCAACCCCAGCCTGCTCTTGGATTTCTGACTTGCCCAGCCAGCCCCAACAATCGCGTCAGCCAATTCCTTGCAAGAATCTTAATACATAGCTCCTACTGGTTCTTTCTGTAGTTGAACCCTGACTGCACGCTCAGTCCTGCTCCCCCGCCTCTGCGCAAGTGCTGTCTCTTGATGACCAAAGCCCCCTCTCTGCCCCCAACCAGAAAAACCCCTCCACTCCCCAGATAACGTCCTGATTTGAGGCCACAGGAATCTCTGTTTCCCGACTTGCAGTGTTCATTCACACACGCCTGCATTCTTCTATCCACCTGCCCATTCAACAGGCAAGAGGGGACCCTGCCACTGGTGTGAGCCCTGCAGCCAAGGGCTTTGCTCTCAAGGTGATGGGGCACAGATAATAAACAAGAAAACTCTCAAGATAATTAGAGCATGCTCAGTGATGTGCAGGGAAGAAGTAGGGTGATTTGAGGGGGCAGCTAGAAGGTGGAGGATGGGGGCGGCCTCTCTGAAGTGAAAACTTAGCAGAAATCTTAAGGAGGCAGCCATGTCAAAGATCAGGGAACAGCATTCCAGGCTGAGGGAACAGCAAGTGCAAAGGCCATGTAGAGAGAATGAGCTTGATGTGTTTAAGGAATGGAAGGTGACCGGTGTGGCTGAGCGGAGGGTGCTGAGTGGGAATGTGGGGTGGTGGGGGCAGAAGAGGGTAGGAGCCAGGGCAGGATGGCAGGCAGGGGCAAAGCACACAGGGCTCTGTAAGCCAGGATAAGAAGTTTATTGAGGGTGGGTGGGAAGTCCTTGGGGGCATTTAAACAGAAAAGCACATGATTTGACACGTTTTGAAGAGCTCCCTCTAGCTGTGGTGTGGAGAACAGCATGGAGGGGCAAGGGTGGAAGCAGGCAGGCGGAGGAGGAAGCTGAGGGCTTCCAAGAGGCTGTGATGGTGGAGGTGGGAAGAAGTGGATGGATTCAGAGGTCAGGTTGGCAGGTGAGAGAAAGGGAGGAGTCAAGGATGACTTCTAGATGTTGGGCTTGAGCAACAGTGCGGATGGGAGGATGGGAAGATGTGGGAAGGAGCAGAGAGAAATGTGAGGCTACACTCCCTCCCGGGTTTTAAAGTCACTGGTCCTGCCTCCTTCATGAGGCTGTAAGCTGCCTGAGAACTTTCTTCCTGTTGACTCCCCCCTTCTCAGGCCTGGCTTCAAATATTGACTCTGCGCTCAATAAGAGATCCATCCAAGAGATCCTCCAAGGAGGAGCTGGGGCTTTGGGGACTAACATGAGACAAGTGACGACCAGGGAACAGCACCCATTTCCTCCATGCAAACGTCCCTGGCTGGAGTGATCCTGCGAAGCTTCATGAGCTGCATTACCGAGCAGAGTAAAGCCTTAAACACAGACTCAAATCCTCAATTTGCCACAGACTGTGGGCAGCCACCCTCTTGGAGGCTGAGCTTCTCATTCTAAAATGGGAATCCCACCAGCCACCTCAAAACATGGCTCCGAGCAGCAAATGAGGAAACATATGTAAAGTTGCTAGCACATAGCAGATGCTCATTAAATAATAATAGTAGCTAGCACTTTGCGAGAGCTTTCCAGGCTGCAGGCAGTGTTCTAAGCATGCTAACATATATTCATTTGTCTAATCTAATCTTCATTATAACCATATGAAGTGTGTATTAGAGTTCTCCAGAAAAATAGAACGGGATGAGAGATAGAGAGATTGATTCATTGATTTTAAGGAACTGGTTCATGTGATTGTAGGGGCTTGGTGAGCCCAAAATCTGATGGGGGAGGCTGACAGGCTGGAGACTGGAGGAAGAGGTGCAGTTCAAGTCCTGCAGGCAGAATTCCTTCTTGCTCAGCGGAGGTCAGTCTTTGTTCTATGAAGGCCTTCAACTGATGGGATGAGGCCAACCCACATTTTGGGAGCTCATCTGTTTTACTCAAAGTCCACTGATTTAAATGGCAATCTCATTCAAAAAACACCCAGAACAAGGCTTGACCAAATATCTGGGCACCATAGCCCAGCCAACCTGACACATAAAACTAACCATTACAAGGTAGGTATGAATATTATCCCGAATTTACACAAGAAAGAACAGGCACAGAGAGGGTAAGAAGCCTGCCCAAGGTCTCAGAGGAGAAAAGCCAGGCTCTCTACTCCTGCTTTCTGGCTCCAGAGCTGGCACTTGGAACCACGACACTAAGTGGCCATTATCATAAGCACACCAATGTAAATTCAATTTCTCCATCCATCCTCTTCCTGGCCTGGGGAAACGGGGGAGGCTTTCCCTGGGTGGGGCCCTGCATTACTTAGGAAGCAGTACAGAACCTGAGCCTCAGAGACAGGGGTGGGGGAGACCTGAGAGGTTATCTGGTCCAGCCCTCAACTTTACAGGGGGGAAACTGAGGCCCAGAGTAGAGAAGGGTCTCACCCCAGGTCCATGGCTTCAGAGTGGAATGATGATAATGCTTCTGATGATACACTGATACTTCCATAGTACTGATTATGTGCTGGGACTATTCCACATTAACTTATTTAATCTTCTACATATGAGGTAGGTACTATTATCATCTTTGTTTTAAAGAGAAAATGAGGAAACTGAGGCAGAGAGGTTTTGAAACTTGCCTAAGGTCACACAGACCCAGAATCTGAGGCCAGGCTCAACTACACCTCTGAGGCCCAGGGCAAGTGTCTTGGGGAGGGGCTTGCCAGAGAACGCAATCCCAGGTTTGCCCTCCCTTCCCAGTTCTCCCACCTGGGGCTCTGACTGCAGGCGACAGCTTAGGCGATGCTGCAGTTCCTCAGGTCCCAAATACAGCCTCACCCTCCTGTTGACGGAAGAAATGACCTCCGCACCAGTGGGTGCGCACACCTGAGACACCCCTGCCCAGCTGACACGCACGTGTGCACACACATCCCACAGCCCCAGACAGGTACACAAACACACGAACACTGACTCCCACCCACAACCAGATACATCCCAACACAGTGGCACACAAATGCAATACCTATGCACCTGAACATGTAAACACACCCTCAGAGCACACACCTATGAAGACGCACACGGACACACACAACCCCACATACACACATGCCTCTCAATACATACACCAGGACACAACTTTCCTCCTCCCCATAAACACATAAGCAAGCACTTGTACACAGAAAACATACAGACCCATACTCAGAAACACACCATACAATTACACCTACCCCAATTCTCTCACCATCCACCACACAGGGGCACACACACCTCCACTGATCCACAGGCCAAGGCACTTGGACACATATACCTCCACACAGGCGCCATTCACGTGAGCCACGTGTTTATACAGGCTTCCCACATTCCCAAGGGCCAGATCCCCCCGGATGGCTGCCGACCCCCATAACTCACCACCCCCATAAATACGGGCTGCACACATGCCGACACAGATCACTCCCGTCCGCACCCTCTCGCCCCACCCCAGTACACACACAGCCCTAACTCCTAGCGACCACCCTCCCCCAATTAACTACACCCCGCCCACACCCAGGCGTGTGCCGAGCCGGCCTCCGCCACCCACAGAGAACCGTTCTCTGACCCCGGGCGGGCGGACAGCGCCCAGCACACAGCGTCCGAGGACTTGTTCCCGCCTCTCTCCCTGTCTCCACCCTCTTCGCAAACTCCGGGTGGGCCCTGGCACCTGTCAGGCCAATGCCAGGGTGGGCCGGCCCCCTCCCATCCCTGTCTCTGCGGCCACCGCGCAGAGCCCCCACCCCCGCAGCAAAAGAGAACGCGCTCAGAGTTGGGGGAGGAGAGGGAGCTCTGCGCTGCAGGCGTTAAAAAAACTCAGTCTCTCGAGTGAGACACCCCCCCCTTGCAGTCCCGGATCTCACCTTCGCATCGGGAAAACCCTGCGTCTCTATTAACCCTTTCAGCACCGCCACACCGCGGGAAAGACGCAAGGCGAAGAAACAGCAGTGCCTAGCTGTGGGCACCGCAGGGGGGGGGATCCGCCTGCCAAGGGTGCGGGGGCAGGCCCTTCACGAGACACCCACACTCCCCGTGCACCCACCCTATTCCCACGGGGGAGAGCCCGGGGAGAGCGAAAGGGATCGGTGGGAGAAGGAGAAGGGGTGAGTACCAGAGCTCAGAGGGCAAGGGCCGGGGAGGGGGGCAACTGAAGGGAGGACCCTGGGCCCGCAGGACCATAGGGCGGGCGGGCAAGGACAAGTCCCAGAAAGTCCTCCGCAGGATGGGAGAGGTGCGTGCAGGAAGCGGGAGGGGAGGCTGGAGGGAAAAACGCCCGGAGGCTCCCTTACCTGATTTCCTTTTGGAACTGCCATAGTCCCTGAAAAAGAAGCAACAACAGATAGACATGGTTAGGGCCAGGCGGTGACACAAGGCTGCGGCGCTGCGGCGCTGCGGCGCTGTGGCTGCGGGGCGCTCAAGGGCCGGCTGCGGTGGGTCCCCGGCACCGCAGCTCATGTGATCGCAGCGGCCGGCGAGCCGCGCGCACC